TCTCATTTGATCTATAGTATTACATTCCTATTCTAAAGCTTTCATAAACATTATACAATGTTTTTATTCACCAAGTAACAAAATTGAAACCATTTTACAAAACTTCTATTTACTAAACACACTTCTAAATACTGATATTTACTTCATTATTTGGAATTGTGTTATCAATATTTAAATATATTCATACGTATATATTTGGATTAAATTTTACATCTAAAATGTATTGATGAAGCTGTCTTTCATATTTATTAAAGTAATGAGATAAAAATCTCTTAGTTTAGAACTGACTGTTATGTTGGCATGGATGAAAAATGTTTTTAGAAATGTGTATTTGTAGAAATGTCTTTTTATTATAAGAATTTTAAAAATGTTTTGTTTGCTTTAAATCAATTATTAGACAAATTTTAAGATACTGCTGCTTAAAGGTTGTCTTTTGGTGATTTATTTAGTAAAATAGTTATTTCTCTAAGTCAGTGATTCTCAACCACTGTGCCACAGTACTTTAATGTGTCACAAGATTTTTGAAGTGTCACCACTGCAAATACCCATACATGAGTGATGTCAGACAAGTAGTTCAATCAGTTCTATCTTCTTAAAGTGCATTTGGAAATTGTAAGCAGTGTTACCAGTAGCTGCCAGTAGTTACCAATGCATTTAGAAAATGTGACCTAAATAACCAACCGCATTTAAAAATCACTGTTATGACATCACCGGTTGTCCTGCAGTACTTACCAAAGGGCTGCCAAATTTTTAAATTATTAAAAGTGTACCATGACGAAAAAAAGGTTGAGAATCACTGTTCTAAGCTAATAACATACTGTTTCAATTTTAGAAAAAAAATTGCCAAATCTATAATGAAAAATTAAAATAGCCACATAGTAATGCAGGGTCTTCCAAAAAGAATGCTACCATTTTAAATGACTATAATTATGTTAATTATTATCCAAGAAGTATATGATGTACATCAATTGATAGAGTAACTGTCTGTGTTACATTCGGATGTCTTGTTGTCTACTATCTCTGGGAAGCACCGTAAAAGATGATGACAACTCCACAATAGAGAAGACATTTTGTGTTATGCAGTCTGCAAAGTCAGAATTATTCATCATTGTACAACATGCAGTAGCTGTAGAATTGTGACTGTTGTAGGAAGTGTGACAACAGATAGGCAGCAGCAAATGTAGGAAAAATTTGAATATTGGTTGGATGGGTGCTGTGTGACACAAGGTGCATGTATTGAGAAGTTGTAATGGTAAAATTTGAACAGTTTTCCAATATTTTAATATACTTTAATTATTATCTGAGAACATTGTAATGTAATTACAATAATTTAAAATGGTAAAAATTATTGAATTCTTTCAAAACTAAAATCTAATACTTGAAATTATAACAAACTTCTGTTTTTAATTGCAAGACAAAATAATTAAGAGAATTTAAAATGCAAAATCTAATCTCATTGTATGCAATGTATATTCAAATTATCAGAGCCATTACAGTATATTCACAAATACAATAACAAAATTTCTGACATTACTCTATTTCTCCAATTTCAATGTATTAATAAAATTATTATTAATCAATTATTCAATTTTTAGGTAACGAAAGATATGAAGTTTCGTCTTAAGATAAAAGGAGTGTCATCAGAATATGAAATGGAGTTAATGTATAAACTTTTATTGTTAGAAAATGAAGAAATTTATGTAAATTATTTCATGTATTAAATATGTTTTCTTAAATTAAAATTATGGTAATTAAATAGTCTTTCAAACTTTTAGTATACATTAATTTTGCAAAAACTTAAAAATAAGTTAAAATGCTTTTTTTATATATATATATTTTTTTTCCAGTAATGATAGGGTTCTCGTCTTGGGAAAATCGGGGAATTTTAACTAATGATGGTGTTGTTTTATATAATTGCATAATGTTTTGTTTTTCATGTTAGTATATGACAATGTGGGCGATCTACTGAGAGGATGCCTACGGGTGGACTTTCTAAGAGAAACTAATCTTATTTAGGTGTTACAAACGTGAAGAAACCCAGAAAACTCCACGTTGCCAGCCCGTAGGCGAGGCGCAAACCCATGACCAGTGTTCAGTGGTTTTATCTACTGGACGACTGAAGGTAATGTCTCAACACTTAATTGAAGGTTTTTTCCGAAAAACTTTAAACATATTAAAGTTAGATTAATCAGGTTTGAAATATTGTATAATATAATAGTTGTATTTCTGGTAACTCCAGTATTTCCTAAAAATGCCATATACAGTATATTTTAAACATGGTAATAATGTGCATTTTGTAACATTCTTTTGATTAATCATCAGATATCAGAAAAATTCAAAAATTGAAATTTTTGCCATCTTATCATCAAAGTAACATTACGTTTTATCGATATTTGTTTGGGAAGTGCACCTTTTGAAATGTTTTTCTGTAAAGGCTTGGTTTACGAACGTGAGAGGAAAGGGGAGATCAGACATGGGAGAGGAGAGGGTTGAACTTTAATCAGATAAAACGGATGTCCGCTAAATTTTATACAGTTTATGCATTTTATTGTTCATAAAGTGATAAAAGTTCAAGGGGAGTTGGGTTTTTTTTTTACTTCCGAAAGGGAGGTCATGCAAACTGGGACAATGGGGAAGAGGGAGTAAAATTTTCAAGAAACATGCGGACATAATTTATGGACAACCCAAAACTCCGTGTTCTCATTGGTCGAGAAAGACATAGACTAAATAAAGAGCAGCAGAAATAGCGATACACATGCTATAATTCCAGAGAATACAGTAGAGTTCCTCAAACTCATCTTAACCTGGACTGAGATGACGAGTTTTGCGTCATAGCGAGATGCCAGTCTAACCAGCGGAAGTTTCGTAAAGGTATCTGTGCAAATTCATATACGTATTAACTACAGTAGAGCGTCGATTATCCGAAAGAATTCCAGTAGGCAAATTTAAATTTTCGCCAGTACTGTGGCGCTGCAATCTTTGGCTGTCTTGGGCTACTCAAATATTGTACGTTTTTGATACTAAATTAACTTCTGAAGTATAATTTTTTGTTTTTATATTTTTCAATATATTGTTTGTACAAAATAAAAAAATAATTTTTAACGATACAATAGTCTTCGTTAGGCTTAACATCGACGAAAATTCAACGCAAAGCGACACGCAACGGAGAAAATTTTCAACATGCGATAGGTTAATATATTTTTCGTGCATAATCGGTTATCCGAAATAGTCGACGCTCTACTGTACTTTAAAAAGTAACTATTTCTATTTGTACTTTAATTTTAAAAAAGACTACAGTAGAGCGTCGATTATCCGAATCAATTGGGAACTGGGATTGTTCTGAGGGAATCGATATTTCGGATAACCGGTTATGCACGAAAAATATTAACCTATCCCATGTTGAAAATTTTCTTCGTTGCGTGTCGCTTCGCGTTGAATTTTCGTCGTTGTTAAGCCTAACGAAGACTATTGTATCGTTAAAAATTATTTTATTTTGTACAAACAAAATAAATATATTGAAAAATATAAAAACAAAAAATTATACTTCAGAAGTTAATTTAGTATTAAAAACGTACAATATTTGAGTAGCCCAAGACATAGCCAAAGATTGCTGCGCCACAGCACTGGCGAAAATTTAAATTTGCCGACTGGAATTCTTTCGGATAATCGACGCTCTACTATATTCACTATTCAGCGGCTACTTTTAATGTCAGTTAATGACATTCTCTTCGTGGCGTTTTGCAGTGGCTTTTGGAAAAAGGGTTATACTCTTTGTCACATGTGGAATTGATGCTATTATTACAATAATTAAAGCATTTTTGTGTGCTATCAAGATGCTTTTATTCAAACAATTAAAGTAAAAAAAATTTAACCTCATTATGCATGTGCAAGTTTAGTGTTCTTTTGAATGTGATCATTTTCTATACGAATCATACACTTCGAATGCGTCATTACGAGACAAAACCAATAGGATCGTGCCATATTTGCAGTTAGTGAAAACCGATGCAAAAACCCGGTTGCAAGCCATTCTTACATAATCCGAAAATAATTTATTATAATTATCTTTCCCATACACGATTTCATTTGAAGTCAGTGTAATAAATTACCTATATTAAGTGTGCTTATATGTAAATATTTAGAGTAATATCATATTCAAATATCTTCTATCTGTGCAATTATATTAAGTTGCTGACAATACAGGGTGAGTCAAGTCTCTTGCACGTTTTTCATTTCAAAAGAACTGAAGATATATTAATTTTGTTAATGTAGTTACATAGGAAGTTATATATGGAGATCCGAATGAGACCTTTTTTTTTTTTTTCTTTTTGTTGATTTTGAAAAATCGAGCAAGGTTTTGTTTAGTTGTATTACGTTAAGTTTTGTGTGTGAATTTATTGCATTATAAGTTTATTTTTTGTGAATAACTTAATTTATATATTATTTGTTTAAATATCAAAATCCTAACTATACCTGCTGATTCTCGGGAATTTTTTTAATAGATGGTCAGACCTTGTTCCTCACCATCTGTGATCTAGAGGAATTAATAGTGGTCCTCGATGTATCCACAAGGCGGAAAAAGTGTAATATATATTTGAAAACTCCATACATAAAATTAATTTTTAGGAGGAGGGGTAACATTAATAACTTTGGTCAATAAATTATATTTACTCCATATAGACACTATTGAGTCGTTGATGGAAAAAATCAATGAATTCTATCTGCTGGATTTTTGCAAACGTTATTAGTACAAAAAACATTATTAGGAAATGTTGATAGACGCAAGTATTCAAAATCCTTACAGTCAAACATGTAGTGATTTAAAGTCGCATTTCCTTTCTTACAAAACGGACACATTTCCGGTGAACGTAGATCAATACACAAGTGTTTCCATGTTAAACGAAACTTATTTAGACGTATTATCGTTTTTTAACAATAAACGGTGGCTGGTGATAATAAATGTAAAAGCATCGATTGTTGTCTAATATTTCTGGGTACCATAAATGGTACTTAGCCTTAAGAATCCTGTCCCCTTCTTCTCTCAAGAAAAGATTATCAAACTTGTAAAATTGTATCTGCGTAATATTTCAAAACATCTGGAGAGGAATCTATCAAAGAGAGTGAGATACCTATTCTATTAAATAGATTCTCCAATTTAGTAAACTAACAGAATTTGAGCGATCTTTTCGATGAAAACTTCTTCAAAGTAGAATAAGCCTCACATTCCAAAGATGATGGATCAGAGATTATGTTTCTCAGGAAATTTAAGGTTAATTTAACAAAGCGTTTCCCGGGAAACTCAAGGCCCAATTCAGATCTAATTGCATACGATGGGATCGACCTCTCAAGACCAAAAAGATGACGAAAAAACATCAGTTCTATAGAGTCGATATCCTCAAAACAAAAACGCCCCCAAAAGGGCAGACCATAAGACCAACTCGAAGTAAAAAGAGAGACGGCAAGTTTCTTACACAAAGCCATATGACTGTTTTTAACCCTTCTCAAGATTTCTATTACAGTATAACATTTATTTTGGAAAATGCTTTGCTTTTAACTAGGAAATGTAATTTTGGAACGAGCCAGTAGCTGAGAGACGAATCCTCAAATATATAACTTCATTAGCAATACTGACTCGTTTACCATTTAAGAAAAACTTATCAGCTTTTCTCAACCTTCCACCATGTCTAAAAATTATTATTTTCGATTTGCATAAATTAATACTCAAACCCAAATTAGAGGAATAATTATATAACCTGTCCAATTTCCTTTGTAGATAAATCGGGGTGATGGATAACACCACTGTATCGTCAGCAAATTGAAGTAAATGGATTTCGTATCTCCCAGAGAAATGGAATCTTTACTTAGATCATCAAAAACTTGTACCATGTCATTAACATAACAAAAACAATATCGGACTTAAGGAATCACCCTGTGGTAAACCCTTTTCTAATGAAAAAGCATCTGTAGACCCGGCACTAGTAGAAACCCTTGCCTTCAATCCTGAAAATAAACATTGAATAATATCAATAAACTTGTCAGAGATTCCAAGATTCCAGATTCCAAGCATTTTTAATTTAAATAACAAAATCTTCAAAACTACACTGTCAAAGGCTTTCTCATAGTCAATGAACGCTGCCAGTAAACGTTGTCTTTTCTTTGATAGTTGTCTACAAATAATGGGGTGGAGAATCAGAATATTAAAGTGCTCTTCCGAGGTTGGAAAGCAAATTACACAGATTGAATCAAATTTCTCTCTCTTAGCCAAATACCCAATCTATTTGCCAAAATAGAGGTAAATATCTTTCGAACTACAGGCAACAGCGATACTGGTCGAAAGTTAGCGGGCTCATCTAATGGACCTTTTTTATGGATAACTTTTATCTTTACCTCTAACCACGATTTCGGAATTCTAGCAGTGTCATAAACCCGATTAAATAACTTGGCCAAATAAGGAACCAAAGTATTCTTAGAGTAAACAATTAAAGAAGGTGAAACATTATCCACCCCGGGAGCAGAACGAATTCGCATCTTTTGAAGTGCTGTATTCACCTCTGTATCAGAGATAGGATGATCTAAAATAGGAACAACAAAAGAAGCCATCGGTAGTGACAGAATCGGGGGTAAATTCGATGTATTTAAACTAAATAACTGTTGATAATAAGTAAACCAATCAGTCGAGGAAATCTCTTGGTCTAGTATGCGCCTGACCCGACGAAAACGACCTATCCGATACCAAAAGGTCTTAGAGTCTCTAATCCTAGCCAACTGTAAAGCATAATTAGAAAAATATTTCCTTTTTTTGGCCCTAATAAGTGAATTATATTGTCGTTTTAAATTTAAAAAGGAAGCCAAATCAGCCTGACTATTAGATCTGCGGAATTTGCCTAAGGCAATGTTCCTCGCTCGCTTCTGAATGTAACATGACCTATCAAACCAAGGTGGACGAATCCTCCTTATAAGGTTCAACACCTTCAAAAAATCAACAGACACAGAATCAAAGTTTATATTCCGAAAACTCTGCGATACGGCGTCACCAAATAATTCTACTTTAGAATCATTCCAAACATAACGAGTCTTGATGGGACAAAGCACATCAACAAAGGAAAATCTGTTTCCAGTCGACAACTGTAATTCTACTGGAAAATGGTCCGAAGATGAGAGAGACCCAACACGAAGGGATTCAACCTTATGAACCAGATTCTGAGAAACGACAATAAAGTTTCTGAGACGAAATACCCACTTTTGACAAAAAAGTTAGCTCACCTGGGAAATCTCTCTTAGTACGACCATTAAGGAGAATAAAATCGTGTTCAATCAACCAACGCAGAAACTGTCTCCCGGCCGTGCCGACCTTCAAATCCTTTGATCGTCTGACATCAAAAATGTTGGGAGAGGCTACATTCAAATGTGAATCAGTTCCTTCACCAATATGGACGTTAAAATCGCCCATTATCACAATTCCATGATAGTAAGAAGACCAAGAATTCAAAATAGAAGAAAACAAGTCTAAACGTAAGCCCTGTTGTCTCTGCGAGCCAGCATATACCACCAGCACCAGGATATTTCTAGAATCGAGAACCGAGTAAAGTGATAAGCCAATCACCATCAAATCAGGGTAAGTTTCCAATAACTTGAAGTGCACTCTAACTTCATCAAAAAAGAACAAAATACCACCATGGGGTCTTCCCGGCCCCAATGGCTTTTCTGCTGGAATCATAAAATACCTCCAGTTTACTAGAAGGAAGTTAGCAAGAAAATCACCATCCACTGAAATCATCCAGGTTTCAACAAGGGCTAAACAAATTAAACCTGGTCGTTTAATCATATAATCCAACAGAGAACAATTGGTGCTAAACCCACAATGATTCCGAATAACTACTCGAACCAAACTGGTCCGGGAACGATGAAGTTGAAAGTCTCTCGAAACCGACTCTCCTGCGGGGAGGAAAATTCAAAATAAAAAAGAAACAGGCACCTCTATTAAGCGATGGCTCAAAATAGAATATGTGAATCTCTTATCATCCACATATAATACGTCATCTCGCAAAAAAAAAAACACGACGACCAGCTTCCCGGTATTCTTTTAAAAAGTAACCAGGTTTTTATGGCAAACACAGGAATTAAACGACAGATCCGGTGCCAACCTAAATTTCACCGGTCTTTCCCTGCCCTCTTGTTGAGTTTTCGTCCGAAATTTTTGCAATAAATAATTTCGACATTTCCAGGACGACAACTGGATGCTATAGAATTCCCGAGCTTTACCTTTCAAACGGGAAACATCGACAATATTATGCCCCGACAGATCAGTCACATCCAATTACTTAGAAAATAAGTTAACAATATAATCCCGCAAATCCAACTCGAGCGGAATATTATGATTAAACAACATTAAATTGCTTCTGTTTGAAGCATTAACTTGTCTATCGTAGGCAAAGGAGTGTAACTCACCAATGTCGTCCAAAGGTAACTGATGTTGCTGTTCCAGTTTATCTAGTCGTGAACATACTTTAGAAAAGTCAATTTCCAATTTCCTTACCGAGGACAAAGTTGACTGGTTGGCCATTTCCAAATTGGCGAGCCTATCTTCGATACACTTCAACTGCATCATTACTGCATTTAAAGTCGTCTCCAAATATTGGCATAAGGTTAACAATTCTTCTCTATCTGAGTCCGGAGGAGATTGCCTCTTAAAATAATGTTCTAACTTTGGATATTTTATACCCGGATCACTCGGTGAACGATGATGTTTAGTTCCCTTCCGTTCTTCTTGGCTGTGCTTTAACGCTTCTGGAGGAGTACGTGGGAACATTTCCAAAAAAATAGAACTAATGACGCAGAATAACACAATTGAGCAAAAAACGTACCAACTTAGGTAGCAAATAAATAAAAGACTCAGTAATTTACAATAAAAAAAAAGTGTTAACAAAATCTCCGACAAAAAGTCACCAGCAGCCGAGGTTACTCCAAAGTATAATATAAAAATATTATTTCTGTGCAAACGGAAGTTACTTGTAAAATTTATTTGTAGTGTTGCAACGAATAGTATATTCGGCCTCAGGCCGAATACTGAATATTCGGCCAGGAGCGTGGCCGAATAGCCGAATATTCGGCCAAACTATTCGGCTCGATTAAAGCACGTACGAAAATTGGCGCGCAAACCGCATTATGGCAAGGACCCTGCTCTCTAATTTCCCACTGTCACCACGCTTCGCCAATCGCGTTAATTCTTGACAGTTGTAGCGGACAGACATGAGTGTCATGGCAGTATGTGATAAGTGATGATATCAAATGTGGATAACAATGAAATGACCTACACTTGTAAATAACGGGAAAAGAACAGAGAAGAACCACAAAGTGAAAATATGAAAATAAATATGAAATTGAGTAGATAACATAATCGAACAAGTCAAAGCAGCTTATTGGCGCGAAATTCGCCGCCGTTAATGCCAAACAATTGTTGTCATAGACTTTGGAAAGCTAAATGCTTGTAATGAAAGTCACTTAGCGTGCACGGGCGAAAGCCTCGGACCGTTCGGGCTACCAAGCTGTCTCGAATCTGTGAAATCATAACTGTGACACATACCGACGTCCTATCTGTCTCTTTTCTCCGTTATCACCAGGCTGAGTCACGTAATTGTAAAATGGAAAAACTATGACAGAAAACTGACGAATTGAAAGTATCGTGAGTGCGTATTATGATGTATGCGTAGGCATACGTGGACTAGAGAGATAGAGGAAAGAGAAAGAGCAAAGACGAGCGCTTAAGAAGAAGGATAGGCAGGGTCAGACCCTCAGATATGTGCGACGATTCTCGAACGAATAGGTGTGTACGTGTGCTGATCTTTGTAATTATAAATTGTGAATACTTGTGACTAATATTATTATTATTTTTTTTATTTTGTACATGTTATAAGTTATAAATGAATATATACAAACAACACTAACCAGATAACATTAAATCTAAATACCAAAATGATTAATTTACTGTGTTTTTGTTATTTCTTACTCCTGTTTCTAGGTATTCGGTATTCGGCCGAATAGTGATTAAATATTCGGTATTCGGCCGAATAGCGAAAAATAGGCCGAATAGGCCAAATACCGAATAGTAACCGAATATTCGTTACATCACTATTTATTTGTAAAAGTAGCAATAAAATGCCACTTAGAGCAATTGTTTTTTTTTCTGCTGCCGGAAATGGCGTAAATTACAAATGCATTTTGTATGCAAATGCAAATTACACGCAATCTCACAAAGATCTTTTCCCCTATCCTTTCAAAAAAATTGACTGTAAGATACTTTCTTTCTCCTAATTCAATTTTATAATTTTCTGTGTTTAAAATTTAGGCATTGTTAATAATATTCGCATATTTAAAAAACAAATTAAATCTACGTACGACTCAAAATATGATATCCACTTTATCAAGTTCTTTTTTATAACTCCGCCCTGTGGATACCAAGAGAATCTTTAAGAATATATTGATATTTACAAGAAAATGATTCATATAGTAACATTCTATCATTGATAAATTAGTAATAATAAATTATTCATATTTACGCAAATAAGTATATTGCGTTAGATTTTCATTTGAAATTAACATAGATGTTAATAATTTATTTAGTTTAAAAGTTTCTTTCAGGAAGTGAAACCAAAAGAGTCAGATACATTATTTCATTTTTCATTGAGAAATTATTGATTAATCATATTCTGCTATGATTCATAACTTTCTTCTCGTTGAAATATTTTGTGGGAGATTTTTATTATATTTTAACACTTGTGATTTTATTGTTAATTTAATGGTCGGTTCTTTGAAACAGTATATTTTCCGAAATTTGATATTGATAACTGTTATCACAAATTTCAAAAATTTTCTATTCAAAAATATAATTATTAAAACTTCTAACAAAAATTTAATGTATTGATTCTTCTCTTATTAAATTAAAAATTCTATTCACAAAATTATAAAAACTTCTCTCAGCTTTATTAATAGATTCTCTCTTTTTCTCTCTTAACCTGTAAACTGATGGGCAAGCATGTTAATTTCCTAACATTTTCAACTTCCATAGCTACATGTTTGATCATACAATAAGGTGTCTTTTCTTTGACGTTCTCAACTAGTGACCGAATGAATAAAACCACTTAACACAGGTTTTTTGTTTTTGTTTTGTTCTTTCCGTCCTGTGGTTACTAAGAGGGCCTTTTCTCCATATTCATCATAGATTTAGCCAGGCCTACAATGTAGACGACAGGATTGTGAGGAGCGAAACCTTACATAACCGGGACAAAGGTAGGCGCGATCCCAGAGCTGCAGGCTGAAGCTTTAAACGCCTCGCCCAACACTGAATACTAATGGTTGATCGTGGGTTCGTGCCAAATCAATTTTCTTCCTGTTTGAAACACCTAAACAGCGGTAGCCGGGATGGTTAAGACATCATCCTGTTCTGTCCGGGATAGAATCCAATTGAGCATTTTCGGATATGTCGGGTTCCGTCCTTCGTCGCCCGGTCTCCAGTATAGGCCTGGCTAAACCCACGATTGATATGGAAATATCTTACAGTATATTTAAATTTGTTATCTATTTATAGCCCTATTGCTTAATCAAGTTTCATAATAGCGAACTGTAGACGAACGTTTTATTACTGTGATGATAACACTAAAATTTACAGTTATTTCTAATATTTAAATAAAGTTTAACTATATTAGCTATTATTTATATAAATAAATGACTCAGGTTACCTGTAAAAATAAAGTAAAATATCGAATATAATAAATTACGTTTCTTTAGACATTGAGAAACGTCAGTTTTGTGAAATGTATTTATGATTTTATATGTAAATAAGCAATATTTTTAAACTTACAATTATTGGAACGTTTGTTAGTATTATCATCATCATGTAGGGACTACGAGAGTCATTCTTCATGTTCATCGTGAATTTAATCACGCTAATAATTGGATGGTTAGGTAATGAGGAGCAAGGAAGCAAGAACAGTTTGATCCGACATATTCAATCCCAAGCTACCCATGCAAATTTGTAAAAGTCCAACCAGAATCTTGGTAACCCGGTTGAAAACCACTGGGTTGCTGCCTTTACTATCTCAGCATTCGGCCATAACAGTTTTCACTGTTGATATAGGTTAATTACGATTGTTTGGTTCCTACTTTAAGAGAATGTGAATAATTTTGTATAAAGAAATTGTTGCGATTGTCTTAAGTTAAAAGTGGTACATTAGGAATAAAATGAGACTATATATATATGTTATGGACAAAGTGATTAATCGGGCATTATTCATAATGACCAAATAGGGCGGACAGTGTGATAAATATTGATTAATTTATCAAATTGACCGGTCATTATGAATACTGCTATCACCTAGTCGGGCAAAGTGATAATAAGTTGAGGAGTGATCATCTGACATACGCTAGCCAATCGGCACGCTGAATTGCGTGTGCGTATCGTACAGCGTTTAGTACAGAATTTTAAATTTGATTAAAAAAACTCCACTTATTTCATTTATAAATATTTATTTTTTGTAAATTATATCAAAGTACTATTAACTATATTAATTAAACTAATATTAACGAAAAGTATTATTAACAATTTTTGGTATAAATTATATAAAAAATTAAATGCTTTTTAGTTTATTTATTTGAGCAATTAATATTTTCATGACATTTGGAATTACAGAGCAAGTAAGATGTAAGTTCTGATTGGCTAACGTATGCCGGATGATCACTCCTCAACGTATTATTATCACTTTGCCCGACTAGGTGGTAGCAGTATTCATAATGACCGGTCAATTTGATAAATTATTGAAATTTATTACAATGCCCGATTTTGTTGGTCATTATTCATAATGCCGGTATTAATCACTTTGTCCATAACATATACAGGATATTTACAAAGTCAGTAAACCCTAAGCTCAAAAATTATCTTATACTTCGAACGTTAAATAAGAAAGTTTACTTAACATCATTGTGTTCTCTAAAGGCATATGTTAGTGTCATAATGTTATAGCAAGTGCTGGAGGCATTTTTCCACGCTGCTAGATATACAGAAGTTTGCGGCAATGCATGTTGGGGGCCATCCATCGCAACATTACACGCGGGATTTCCTGAATAGTAGATGTTATATTCTTTTCGTGTTCCGTTACATAGTCCATTAGGTATCTCCGAGACAACGTACGCAATACGCCCACTCTTTTGGAGTAAAACATGTCTCAATAGCCCAGAATCGACTATTTTGAGTTCACGCATCCTTCCAAATTAAACCATGCGTCATCACTAAAGAATGTAAAGCCCGGAAAGTTCATGTTGGTGCGGACTGAAGTTTCTGATCTACCCCACACAGTATCGCATCAATTGTTGGTTTCGTTCTTGCAAGAACGAAAACCAACAAATGTGGCAACGTGTCTAAGAGGCTTTTGATACTGTCTACTCTTCCTAAATGTTAAACTTTATCACGTAAATATATTCTATTCTATATATATATTGATATATTGACTTTGGGCAGCAAGAGGGCCTTTTTTATCAAGCCCATTGTGTGTTCAGCCAGGCCCATATTGTGGCGGCAGGGAGGCGAGGGGCGAAACCCAATATCCGGGACGGATCATCCCGAAAAATTCCTGGGATATTTCGATCCGTCCCGATTCGTTTCCGAGTTTCCAAAGCGATAAGCTGACATCTTAACCGTTCGGCAATCCATCCATCCATCCATCCATTGTGCATATTGAATAGACCAAAAAACAACACATTCGCAAATCATGGTTTTAATATATTTCCGACCAGTAGATGGTATGAGTGTGAAACTAA